TCAATCAGGAAGTGAGGGGGTGTGGGTGGGTGTGGGGGAAATGGGATCAGGGAATGGGGGTGGGGAAAGTGGAATCATGTTCAGCTAAGGGTAGGAATGGGAACAGGGACACAGGTAAGGCTCTGTTGTCAGAGCTGGGAAGGGGGACACTGAGGAAGGAAACTGGAATCATGCTTGCTGGAAGTTCACCCCAATAAACATCGAATTGTTTGCACCTTTGGACTTCAGGTATTGTTGCTCTCTGTTCATTCAAGAAGGACCAGGGAAGTAAGTCGGTGAAGGAATAAGCTCCCTAACAAACATATCTAGTTCTTTTTTAAACCCTGTTATAGTTTTGGCCTTCACAACATCCTCTGGCAAGGAGTTCCACAGGTTGACTGTGCTTTGTGTGGAAAAACACTTTCTTTTGTTTGTTTTAAACCTGTTGCCTATTAATTTAATTTGGTGGCCCCTAGTTCTTGTGTAATGAGAAGGAGTAACTAACACTTCCTTTTTTACTTTCTCCACACCAGTCATGATTTTATACCCCTCTAACATCTTTATAACCCCTTTATACCCCTTAGTTGTCTGTTTTCCAAGTCGAAAACTCCAATCTTATTAAGGTCTCCTCATACTGAAGCTGTTCCGTATCCCTAATCATTTTTGTTGCCCTTTTCTGAACCTTTTGCAAGTACAGTATATATTTTTTGAGATGGGGCGACCACATCTTCATGAAGTATTCCAGATGTGGGCGTACCATGGATTTATACAGAAGCAATATAATATTTTCTGTCTTATTATCTATCCCTTTCTTAATGATTCCCAACATTCTGTTCGCTTTTTTGACTGCTGCTGCATATTGAGTGGATGTTTTCAGAGAACTATCCACAGTGACTCCAAGATTCATAGATTCATAGATATTTAGGTCAGAAGGGACCATTATGATCATCTAGTCTGACCTCCTGCACAACGCAGGCCACAGAATTTCATCCATCACTCCTGTGAAAAACCTCTCACCTATGTCTGAGCTATTGAAGTCCTCAAATTGTGGTTTAAAGACTTCAAGGAGCAGAGAATCCTCCAGCAAGTGACCCGTGCCCCATGCTACAGAGGAAGGCGAAAAACCTCCAGGGCCTCTTCCAATCTGCCCTGGAGGAAAATTCCTTCCCGACCTCAAATATGGCGATCAGCTGAACCCTGAGCATATGGGCAAGATTCACCAGCCAGATACTACAGAAAATTCTTTCCTGGGTAACTCAGATCCCACCCCCTCTAACATCCCATCACAGGCCATTGGGCCTATTTACCATGAATATTTAATTACCAAAACCATGTTATCCCATCATACAATCTCCTCCATAAACTTATCGAGTTTAATTTTAAAGCCAGATAGATCTTTTGCCCCCACTGCTTCCCTTGGAAGGCTATTCCAAAACTTCACTCCTCTGATGGTGAGAAACCTTCATCTAATTTCAAGTCTAAACTTCCTGGTGGCCAGTTTATATCCATTTGTTCTTGTGTCCACATTGGTACTGAGCTTAAATAATTCCTTTAAATAATAGATCTCTTTCTTGAGTGGTGACAGTTAATTTAGACCCCCTTATTTTATATGTATAGTTGGGATTATGCTTTCTAATGTGCATTACTTTGCATTTATCAACGTTGAATTTGATCTGTCATTTTGTTGCCCAGTGACCCAGTTTTGAGAGATCCTTTTGTAGCTCTTCACAGTCTGCCTGGGACTTAACTATCTTGAATAGTTTAGTATCATCTGCAAATTTTGTCACCGTACTGTTTATCCCTTTTTCCAGATCATTTATGAATATGTTAAATAGGGCTGGGCCCAGTACAGACTCCTGAGGGAGACAACTATTTATCTCCCTCCATTCTGAAAACTGACCATTCCCACCCTTTGTTTCTTATCTTTTAACCAGTTATCAGAGAACCTTCCCTCTTATCCCATGACTGCTTACTTTGCTTAAAAGCCTTTGGTGAGAGACCTTTTCAAAGGCTTTCTGAAAATCTAAATACACTATATCCACTGGATCCCCATGGTTCACGTGTTTGTTGACTCCCCCAAAGAATTCTGGTAATTTGGTGAGGCATGATTTCCCTTTACTAAAACCATGTTGACTCTTCCTCAACAAGTTATGTTCATCCATATGTCTGACAATATTGTTCTTTATTATAGTTTCAAGCAGTTTGCCCAGTACTGAAGTCAGGCTTTCAGGCCTGTAATTTCCGGGGTCACCTCTGGAGCCCTTTTTAAAAAATGGGACCACATTAGCTATCCTCCAGTCATTTGGTACAGAAGATGATTTAAATGATAGGTTACAGACGACAGTTAGTAAACCTGCAATTTCACATTTGAATTCCTTCAGAACTCTTTGGCGACTACCATCTGGTGCTGTTGACTTATTACTATTTAGTTTATTAATTTGTTCCAAAACCACCTCTAATGACACCTCAGTCTGGGACAGTTCCTCAGATCTGTCACCTAAAATGAATGGAATCTCCCTTACATCCTCAACCATGAAGACCAATGCAAAGAATTCATTTAGTTTCTCTGCAATAGCCTTATTGTCCTTGAGTGCTCCTTTAGTATCTTGATTGTCCAGTGGCCCCATTGGTTCTTTTGCAGGCTTCCTGCTTCTGTTGTATTTAAATTTTTTTTTTCTAATACTTTTTGAGTCTTTGGCTAGATGTACTTCAAATTCCTACTTATATTTTTACACTTCTTTTGCCAGAGTTTCTGTTCCTTTCTATTTTCCACAATAGGATCTAACTTCCACTTTTCAAACAATGACTTTTTGCCTCTCACTGCTTCTTTTATTTTGTTGTTTAGCCATGGTGGCTCTTTTTTGGCTCTCTTACCATTTTTTTTTTTTTTAAATTTGGGGTATACGTTTAAGCTGAGTCTCCATTATGGTGTCTTTTAAAAGTTTCCAAGCAGCTTCTAGGGATTTTTCTTCTGGTGCTGTACCTTTTAATTTCTGTTTAACTAACCTCCTCATTTTTGTGTAGTTCTCCTTTCTGAAATTAAATGATACATTGTTGGGCCACTGTGGTGTTTTCCCCACCACAGGGATGTTAAATTTTATTATATAATGGTCACTATTGTCATGTGGTCCAGCTATATTCACGTCTTGGACCTGTTCCTGTGCTCCACTTAGGACTAAATCAAGAACTGCCTCTCCTCTTGTGGGTTCCAGGACCAGCTTCTCCAAGAATCAGTCACTGATGGTATCAAGAAACTTTCTCTCTGCATCCCATCCTGAGGTGACATGTACCCAGTCAATATTGGGATAGTTGAAATCCCCCATTATTATTGAGGTGTTTTTAATTATTATTTTAATAGCCTCACTAATCTCCTTGACCATTTCACAGTCACTATCACCATCCTGGTCAAGTGGACTGTAATATATCCCTACTGTTATATTCTTATTATTCATTATTCAGGCCATTGATGGACCTACCCTCCTGAAACTTATCAAATTCTTTCTTTGAACCCGGTTATAGTTTTGACCAGCATCCCCTGGCAATGAGAATAGAATATTCTGTTTTTTTTTCCTTTTTTGGTCCATTCCCACACAGGGAATGGAGATGTATTTAAGTAACTAGAACTAGGAGCACTGAGATAGAATTAAGACAAGGAAAAATTAAGATAAACAGCAGGAACAGTTTCCTGACAGTGAGATCTGTAGGTATTGAACTTGCCTTCCAGAAAAACAAACTGGTGGAAGATCCGTCAACTGAGTCATTGAAAACTAGACTAGACAAGTCTTATGAAAATATACCAGAGGGAACAAGCGTGCACTGGCCAAGGGATATGGACAGGTGGGGAATGCTATCTCTTCATAGATTGCAAGGACAGAAAGGACAACTGTGAACATGTAGTCTGATCTCCTGTATAAGACAGGTCATAGAGCTAATTCCCTGAGTCAATTCCTATTGGACCCAAAGCAGATCTTTTAGAAAAAAGAGATTGCCTGGAGCACTGATCATAGCAGCATCTAGCCATAGTGTCTAAGAGCCAGCACCTAAAAGCCTTTTCCATCTTTGTCATAGCGAATAAGCAGCTGGGTTGAGATGCAGCATGGTCTAGCGGCTAAGGTACGGGACTGGAGATGCGAGCTCTATTCCTGACTCTTCCACTGACTTGCTCTGTGACCTTCAGCAAGTCATCACTCTGTGCCTCTGTTTCTCCTCCCACCTTGTCTCTGTCTTTGCTATTTCGGGGTCTCCGTCTCAGGTGGGGCTTCTAGCCATGACCGCAGTACAAAAATACGTCCGATTGTAAAGAAAAGACACCCTGCCACTGCTACAAGAAACAACACTACAAAGACTACAGCCTACACTGATGAGAGACTCACTAACCAGCTCTGAAGCAGAACTTCTCTGACTAGCCCCCTTCTCCTGAGGCTTCCGGGGTTTTAATCCTGTTTTCTCCAGCTGGGGCTGGTTTTGCTAAATGGCAGCGCCTGCATCTCCAGCAGGGCTTGGCTAATGTGGCCCATTCTGGCGTTAGTAGTCCAGCAGCCACACTGATTTTTTTCACCCAGGTTTATGCATTTGCCCATTTGTCTTTCCTTTCCCTAGTTTTCTGGGACGGATCGAAAGGGGGAGATGGAATGCTGCACTGATTAACAAAGAAGAGAGGACACAAGGAAGAGTGTACTCCTCCCCATCACACTTTGGTCTTCTCACCCTCATGCCCCACAGAAAGCCAGAACAGGAAAGGGAACTGAATCTCAAAGTCGGGAAACAAACAAACCAGAAACCTCTCAACCAGTCTCCTGAGGAGACAGACCGCGCTGCCGCAACCCCTAACTCCAGTGATTCTGGGCAAGTTGCTGTCCTGGGACTGGAGCTGGTATTTGGAACAGAGGAACTGGATCCAATATTCAGTAACTCACTAGCACCCCTGTTTCCGAGGAATTGAATCAGCCCTCATGGGTTCTTCGCAGCTTCTTTACAGGGTGAAAGCTCTCCCAGCCCAGGTAGGAGAAGAGCAACATGCTATGTCATGTCTGAACACCAGCACCCACTCCCACCCTGCCACCTTCCTCCTGGTCGGCATCCCAGGACTGCAGGAGGCCCAGTACTGGATAGCCTTTTCTTTCTTCATCATGTATGTCATTGCCGTCCTGGGAAATGTCATTGTTCTCTTCATTATATACAATGATCTGAGCCTGCATGAGCCTATGTACCTCTTCCTGGCCATGCTGGCAGTCACTGACCTGGTCCTGTCCACATCCACCCTGCCCAAAATGCTGAGCATCTTCTGGCTGGGCTCCAGGGAGATTGGGTTCCATGCCTGCCTCACCCAGATGTTCTTTGTCCACACCTTCTTGTCAGTGGAGTCGGGCATACTCATGGCCATGGCCTTGGATCGGTATGTGGCAATCTGCTGCCCCCTCCGGCACTCCAGCATCCTGTCCGTCCCAGCCATAGTGACAATGGGGAGCCTGGTGCTGGCACGTGGGGTCCTTCTGGTGAGCCCCTTCTCCCTCCTTGTCCTCAGGCTGCCCTTCTGCCAGCGCTGCCTCATCTCCCACTCATACTGCGAGCACATGGCCGTGGTGAAGCTGGTGTGTGGGGATGCTACAGTCAGTGTCATTTACGGCCTGTTCGTGGCTTTTATGGTGGGGGGGGTTGACCTGTTTGTCATCACTGTGTCCTATGCTATGATCCTCCAGGCCGTACTGAGAGTCCCGTGCACAGATACGCGTCTCAAGGCCTTCAGCACCTGTACGTCCCACTTGTGTGTCATTCTGTCATTATACATCCCTGGCCTCTTCACGTTCCTCACCCACCGCTTTGGCCACAATGTCCCCGACTATGTCCACATCCTGGCTGCCAATCTCTACCTGCTGATGCCCCCCATGCTAAACCCTGTTGTGTATGGTGTGAAAAACAAACAGATCCGGGAGAGGGTTCTCCATATCTTCAATCAGAAAGGAATCAGAGCAGTGTGTGCCTGTCTAATTTAATTGAGGAATATAAAACATTCATCATCATGGCCTCTGACCCATTCATGATCTGCCATCACTCACAGTGGTATGTGATCAAGAGATGTCACTATGGACTCTGGGTAGGCTCCACTTTCCGTTCCTGCCCAAAGAAAGCATCTGGTCAGATCACCTCAGTAGTACCTCTGTAGTACTGGAATGTTATGGTAATAATGAGGCAGTATTAAATGTATTAATATATGTATAATGTATAATGTATAATATAATTAATGTATGATATAATTATATGATTTGACCATATTCTGCCAGCCACCCTTTCTAAAAGGAGAAAGGAATGTCCTAGTGTGTCATTGGCAAAGATGAATCAGCCAGAATCATGTGTCTGAAGTTGATTTCAAGGCAGTAATAGACATTTAGGGTCACCACTTTGTTGTAGGTTTAAAATTAGCATTTTGAAATAAGTAAAAGAATGCAATGATTGTTTTCTCCTGTGTTGCAATTTGATGCTCTTGTTCAAATGTTCTGTGGAAATCAATCCTGTTTTGTGTATGAATGAGGAATGTGTGTGTTAGAAGATAAGTGTTAAGACCATCACTGGACCAGATGTTCTAGGAAAAAAACAAAACCAGATGTAAAGGTACCAGGAGATTGCAACACACCCCTATTGATATGTCAAGAAGAGCAGATTGTCTACTCTAAAAATAAGGCAAGCACCTATCAATCGGGACAAGATGGCTGTGATCAAAACCACCATGGGGTAACTCCCCGAGAGACTAATAAAAAAAATAAAATAAAGAATAAAAAATACAATTTAAGAAAACAAGCACTCGTCAAACGGCAATTGATTACAGTATGACAGTGCAAAACTCATTGGTCCCAATGAAGGAAGATCACTATATAAACAGGGTGCTTTGTCATGAAACTTTGGGTTTGTACTGCCAAAACTTCCCTGGAGCATTGTGTTGCGACCGACAGAACCCGGGTCCTCCCTACCCGTGATCAACCTACGTGGCCACTATGTTGCTCCGGACTCTGGACTGGTAACTATAACATCGACTGGTGGGACAGTGTGCTTGTGTGTGTGTGTGATTGAATGCATATGTTAATTGTTGTATCTCCAATAAACGCGGTGTATTGCCTTTTCCCCTGAAAAAGATCCCATGTACTTCTTATAAGCATAAAATTTTTGGTGGAGAATTGCGAAAGGGGGAAGGCATGCACTGTGATTGTTGAAAATACTGCTAAATATTGCTAAAAGGTATACCACACGTATAAACTGATCAATCGTTCAGGTGTGCACACTCCCGCTTGTAGAGATACTGGGCAATAGTGGGAGGATTAGAGTCCTTGGTGCTCCTACCCATCTGTCAGGGAAAACTATAGAGATATATAGATACATATAGATATAAACTGTTCGTACAAACTGTCTAGGTATATACACTCGTGGTTGTAGAGATACTGGGCCATTAAGGGGAGGATTAGAGTCCTCGCTGCTCCTACCTGTCTGTCGGGAACAAAAAAGTTGCATAGGTGAATATACCCTCAGTCATTACAGGATTGAGCCCCAAAGGTGGGGGCTTAGCGTTCCCTCCCTCCTGCTCTGTCAGTCAAGGTTTTTAGTCGGTATAGACTGTTTGTGTTGTGTAAGTCCCAGAAGAAGCATGGGCATGGAAAAGTTATAAGAGTAAAATAAATTCATAAAGTAAAAATGTTCAGGCGAAAAGAGTCCCCTAAAAAGAAAGCTGAAAAAAATTACCATTCATACAGAAAAACACTCCTTTTAAGAAAATTTTGCAAAAGTTTGGGCACAGCCCATGGACTGAACAAGCATTACCTGACGTCCATACTGTAGCTGATTTGGAAGATAGATTGGAAAAAAAATATCTGTTGGTCTACAGGCCTCAACCCCAATAAAAAGGGACTCAGCTGCAATTTGGCTATTGTGGGAAGCATGCAATGAGGCATTCCTCTGCTTGGCTAGCTGCCGAGAGGCGAACATCACACTGCCTGAGAAACTTGGTGTATCTGAACGAGAAACTGACAGATAGAAAATACTGGCCACCAGAGTAGATATACCACTCCACTAGCTTTAATAGATACAGGAGCCACTGTATATTTAATCAAAACAGCCCCAAAAGCAGAAAAAAAAATAAACAAGTAGCTTTAAAATCCTTTCAAGGGAAACCTAGTCTCGGGTGGGAATGGACCCAAGTCCCCTTTTTGGTACAAGGATTTAAGACATTAGGTGGTTTGATCCACACTCCCGATATGGTTGATGAAATTATTCTGGGATCCAACTGGTTGTTCATAGAATCATAGAATCATAGAATATCAAGGTTGGAAGGGACCCCAGAAGGTCATCCAGTCCAACCCCCTGCTCGAAGCAGGACCAATTCCCAGTTAAATCATCCCAGCCAGGGCTTTGTCAAGCCTGACCTTAAAAACCTCTAAGGAAGGAGATTCTACCACCTCCCTATGTAAAACACATTCAGTGTTTATCACATTCAAAAACAATGTGGTAATTGATACGCCTAGAGGTACCCTTTGGAAGTTAGAAATTCACCCTCCCCATTCAGGAAAAGTTGGGCAGGATGTTATGTTAACAAAAGGGAGAGAGAGACCAGTAGCTGCACTTACCGCCCAACAAGCTGAAAAGCAGCGCTTGAAATTCCCCTCAGTGTGAACTAAACAAAAACCAGAATTGTGGTAAAAATAATGCTTGTGTTAAGATGGCTGGGGAATTTGTGCCTCCCCCAGAAACAATATTCTTACCTGAGAGAGGCAGAGGCCCAATTGGTGCAAAGCATCCAGGAATTAGAGCAACAAGGGGTCATTCGAAAACCAGGTTCACCCTTTCACCCCCGTGTGGCCAGCGCTGAAGGCAGTAGGCCAATCTTGGTGTCTAACAATTCATTATAAAAGAATCAATAAGGGCACAATCCCTATGGCCCCTGTGGTGGCCGATATGACACATACAAAAAGTGCAAGTCACATCTAAATATTTCTGTTATTGATTTGGACAGCTGTTTGTTTGCCATTCCCCTGCACCCGGACTCACAAGATCTGTTTACCTTTACAATAAAGGATCAACAATGGACCTTTTGTTGGTTACCCCAGGGATATCACAAGAGCCTGGCTATTGCCCATTCAGTATGTTGTGGATATGGCAGACCAGTTGAGTCCACAAGAAAGGCCTTTTGTGTTTTCATATGTGGATGACATTTTGATATTTGGGGAAACTGAGGCACAAACTCAAACAGCAATGGAAGAAGTTTGGGCACTAATTCAGGAAACAGGGTTCAAAGTAGACTTAGACAAGGCTCAGCTGGTGCTACCTCAGGTTACATACCAGGGCATAGTCGTTGGACCAGAAGGGAGACACGTAGATCAGAGGAAGGGAAGGGCACCAGTAGAAATGCCGGCCCCTACCGAGGCCCACGCTTTAAGAGTCCTGCTAGGAAGATTCAGTTTTCTCAGACCACACATTTGTACATATGCTGAAATCACTCACCCATTGTGGAAACTGCGAAAGAAAAAGAGGGAATGGGAATGGGGAAAAGAGCAGGACTCCACTTGAACCCTATTCAAAGAGAAGGCTCTCACAGCCCCAGCCCTGCATTTCCCTGATGAACCACAGCTTTGTGTTATTCATTTGGCGGCCAATAACACGGCCTTGGCTGCCACACTATCACAAAGCTAGTGCCAGCAGCATAAAATTACAAGGAGCAAAAATGAATGTTAATCCCTGTGAACGTGAGTGCCTAGCAGCCGCCTGGGAGTACAGTTTTTGAGCCACTCACAGGAACAGCCCCTATTACTATCCAAAGCACCCACACTCCCCTCAAGTACATATTGTCAGGGAAATTAATGGCAGGTAAAGTCTCAAACACCCGAATGGCTCAATGGATGCTAATCTTAGTCAACAGAGGAGTGACCACAGAAATGGTGTCCAAGCCGGATATGCTCACACATGCCCTGATTAAGAAAGGAAAGTGACATGAATGTTCAGATGTCACTCTGATGGGCAGGATCCCCTGGGAGGCTAATATGATGGGGAAAGGAGTCCAGGAGAGCTGGCTGTATTTTAAAGAAGCATTACTGAGGGTGCCGGAACAAACCATCCCCAGGTGCAGAAAGCATAGCAAATATGGCAGGCGACCAGCTTGGCTTAACAGTGAAATCTTTGGTGAGATTAACACAAAAAGGAAGCTTACAAGAAGTGGAAACTTGGACAGATGACTAGGGAGGAGTTTAAAAATACTGCTTGAGCATGCAGGGGTATAAACAGGAAGGTCAAAACTCAACTGGAGCTACAGCTAGTAAGGGAGGAGAAGGGTAACAAGAAGAGTTTCTACAGGTATGTTACCAACAAGAAAAAGGTCAGGGAAGTGTGGGACCCTGCATGAATGGGAGGCAACCTAGTGACAGATGATGTGGAAAAAGCTGAAGTACTCAATGTTTTTTTTGGCTCGATCTTCACAGACAAGGTCAGCCCCCAGACTGCTGCACTGCGCAACACAGTACGGGGAGGAGGTGAGCAGCCCTCAGTGGTGAAAGAACAGGTTAAGGACTATTTACAAAAAAATCAACATGCACAAATCCATGGGTCCAGATCTAATGTATCTGAAGGTGCAGAAGAAATTGGCTGATGTGATTGCAGAGCCATTGGCCATTATTTCTGAAAAATTGTGGTGACTGGGGGAGGTCCCGGACTATTGTAAAAAGTCAAATATATTGCCCCTCTTTGAAAAAGGGAAGAAGGAGAACCCCGGGAAATAGAGATCAGTCAGCCTCACCTCAGTCAGGGTAACAAGAAGGGTTTCTTCTGGTATGTTATTAACAAGAAGAAAGCCAAGGAAAGTGTGGGCCCCTTACTGAATGAGGGAGGCAACCTAGTAACAGAGGATGTGGAAAAAGCTAATGTACTCAATGCTTTTTTTGCCTCTGTCTTCACGAACAAGGTCAGCTCCCAGACTACTGCACTGGGCAGCACAGCATGGGGAGGAGGTGACCAGCCCTCT